ATGCTGATTTGCTGCTCAAGAAACACCTAATATTATTATCAGTGTTGATAAACTGTGAAACTCAGATGTCTTAAACATCTTTACTGTCACTTTTGATAAATTTAATGCATCCTTGCTGAATAAAAGTTAATTTCTTACTGACCCCAAACCTTTGCACAGTAGTAAATAAATAAATAATGTTTCATTCATAAAAAAATTTTTACTACAAGTTTTATATATCAATTCTAGATGCTGTTTGGTGACTGAATGTGTGTGTTTGTATTACCTGTGTCTGGGTAAAGTTGCAGGTGGTCATAGTCTCAAGAGTGTCCAGTGAGGCAGTGCTGAGGTTGCCTAGCTCTTCAGCACTGAAGCTCTGGCAGATGCAGCCCAGATCAGCAATCTGGGACTCATTCAACATGGACACACTCCCCCATGCCTGCCATATACAATAGACATTGTCTTTGACTACTGAAGTCAAGCTGTAAAGGTTTTCTTAGATTCTGTTGTGTATATATATTGTGTATATATTATAATTTAACTTGCGGGGTTTGTGTGTGTGTGTTTGTGTGTACCTCCAGAGTTTTTGCTCTGAGTGCAGCCAGTTGTTCTGTGCTGTAGTTGGTTATCTCTCCTAATGTTGGCACAACATCTTTGAAAGTCTGCACAGTCATTTTACTGAACTGGCTGGGAGTCCAGTATACATTCCCCTGTTTGAGATCCTCAATATATGGGAGCGTGGGCTCTATTGGAGTGGACACCACTTCAAAGAAAGAAAGAAAGAAATACAAATGGCATATTGTTAGATATCACTAACATTTCCTCTATTGATTATTCTGGTTGTTTCACATGCAATCTCTGGCACACCTACCTTCACGCTTCCTGCGGTTTTGTAGTGTGCTACTCGTTTTGAGGTCAAAAAGTTTGCGATGAAGTGCAGAGAGATCAAACCAAGAGCGGAACTCCTTTGGAGGAGGAACCACAGGCTGACTGGGCAAACTGTCCATCAGGTCTGACAGATATGACTTTACCCAGCTCTGCAAGACAGATGAGCGGAATGGAGGGATGGATGGGTAAATTAAAAAGAAATAAATAATAAAATTATGGCCATTTAAAATAAAATTAAGGAAACAATTATTCACTTATTTATTCATAAGCAAAAAAAAATAAAATAGATAGATGATTGATAGATAGATATAGTTTTATAGTTATTTACTGTTAAATAAAATATATAAAATAAAAATACATAAATAGCTGTGAGAATGTTTTAAAAAATCTATTAAAATGTTACACTTAATACTAATATTTATAACAATTAGTATAATATTGAATTATATTCTAATTATTATTTAAAATATATATATAATATAGCAATTACATATTAATACAAATTTAATAATTAAAATAATCATTTATTATTTATTGTTTGATTTTTGTAATTATTTGAACATTAAATTCATTTTACATTAAATACATTTTAAATTATGTACATTTAATCCTACTTTTTCATAATCTACTGGTCAACAGCATTGCTGAGATTCTTACTTTGGGTGGCAGCTTTTCAATGGCAGTGTCATTAAGTAACAAAAGTGGCCCAAGCACCCTCAAATCTTCCTCTGACCATAAAGTAGTGTCCCTTGTTAAAAAAAAAGACACATGTATCATTAACAGCAATGCAAAATCTCTAATTGCTGCACTTAAGGCTAGAGAAGAATGATGTTTAAAGTGCGGAATTTTTCAAATGTTTAAAATGCACTTGTTTTGAAGCCACTGCAGGCACAGTCTCTTTAACAATGAAACAAAATGTGGGATGTGGGATCTGAGGTCTGCAGAGGTGGGTTGTGTGAAGCCAATGTGGGTTATGTGTGATTTTGCACATGCCGTTACCCATAGGTGGTCGTAAGCAGTCTGAACAGATGCTCTCTGTGCTGTTGCTGGATATACTGACAGGAGGCGAGAGCCTGCAGGGTGGAGTTCAGAGTCGCGGGGTTCAGAGAGGAAATCCAGGCTGGGTCTAACTCACACACCAGAGGGCCTAGAGTCAAAACCTCTGCCGCAGACAGATCAGATGCGTTCCTCTTCTGCACAGATACAGGATAATGTTAGGCATCAGCCATTTGTATTCTACTGTGCTTCTTTTCTATTGTTTTTCCATGTAAACATCCTATAAATGTGTGCTTTTCTAAAAGCAAAAATGTGAGATTGTGGGAAAGAAAACAAGGTCTAGAGACATGTTACTAACTTTTAACTTGAGCACTGTGTTTTTAGAACTCTGGGTCATGCATGAGACCAGGGCCGTTTCTAGGCATAGGCGAGCTAGGTGGTCGCCTAGGGCGCCACCAGCTGAAGGGGCGCCAATGAGCGCACGTACTGGCACTTTTAGCGAGAGGGTGCTCGCTGCAGAGCCAAATGGGAGGGGCTAGACCTCTAGCTCCCCCTCGCTGGATCTAGTGGGCGGGGCTTGAGACATCATTGGTCCAGATGCACCGCCGCGCACGCAGGTAGAGTCCGTTCGAACTGATGTACAACCTGTATCGCACGGTAAGAAAACTGTACTTTAAAGATCAACTGAACTTTGAGATGTATATCAAATCTAAATCTTACATTTATCGCGGTCTCGACATGACTATTAATGTTATTGTTATGTTTTGACCCCCTGAAACATTAATCGGTAGCGTTAGTTTTTTCGCATAACTATCGAAGTGCTAGCATTTTCCCATCGCCCTTGCTACATTTTAGCACGTGTAGTGTTTTTATTTACTCATAGTTTTTATTTAATTTAATTGTTTAACCTGCACAGATGCATCAGAAAATACTTTTGCGAGGACAGGATCCCCTGCTGTCTATCCAGAGAAAAGAAAGAAGAAAATGAAATACCCACCAGACGAAGTATTTCTTAAGATCCTAGAACATATGGACAAAAGAAAAGAAAAGATGAGATTTAATTAGTCATAATGTACAACGAGCGTTAAAGAATGTATCAGATTATATCTTAAAGTATTAGCTTATAGAGTAGAGGAGATGGGCCACAGAGGCCTCAAAGAGAGAGGCCCCGATAGGCCAGATATCGATAGAGGCCCCGATAGGCCAGATATCGATAGAGGCCCCGATAGGCCAGATATCGATAGAGGCCCCGATAGGCCAGATATCGATAGAGGCCCCGATAGGCCAGATATCGATAGAGGCCCCGATAGGCCAGATATCGATAGAGGCCCCGATAGGCCAGATATCGATAGAGGCCCCGATAGGCCAGATATCGATAGAGGCCCCGATAGGCCAGATATCGATAGAGGCCCCGATAGGCCAGATATCGATAGAGGCCCCGATAGGCCAGATATCGATAGAGGCCCCGATAGGCCAGATATCGATAGAGGCCCCGATAGGCCAGATATCGATAGAGGCCCCGATAGGCCTCAGTGGGGAAAAGGCCCCGATAGGCCTCAGTGGGGAAAAGGCCCCGATAGGCCTCAGTGGGGAAAAGGCCCCGATAGGCCGCAAAGAAAGGCCGCGGAGAAAAGGCCTAGATGGGCCACAGATGGAGACGCCCAGATGGGCCATAGTGAGAAAGCCAAGAGGCCGTTCTTCTCACAATTGCACTAAGCATAATGCAACCTAGGCTCAAATTAGGTTAATTATGCAGGGCTAGTCTGCTGGATACACAAACAATCGCGCGACAGCGTATGGGATGATATTAGACTCCAATGACCAATAGATGCACGCACAACCATCCGTGCACTGCACAAATTCCACTCATGCGTCCCATCGACCGCAAACAAATGCCCCCCAACCCGAGTCTGCGGAACTCGGGACCAAATGACCGCGCAGCAACCCGCACAAACACAGACATGCCTGTGAAAAAATGGAGTGCATAAAACAAAATAATACTTATAATGGTGAAGGCTGATGAAGTGATGAAGACGAAATGCCGAAGGAGACCAGCAGCCTTGTTTCCGACAGCTGGCCCAGATTCGTGCAGGTTCACGTGAGCGTACGGCGAAATATTTTGTTGATTGAGACGCGAGCAGCGCCGATGCGACGGCTCGGAAAGCACTCGGAAATGACAGCGGACGTGAACTAAAGCTCCGCCAATGTTTCACATCCTCCGCTGAGAAAACTCCAACACCTGTATTTATGGCAACACTACCAAACGACCGCGAACGTTCACCGCGACGCCAGAGCAATGCCAACGATGTAGTTTGCATCTTAAGAGGAATGTCAAACTTGAAATCGTTCACAGGAGATGAACTTGACTATATGTGGGCAAGAAGTCAAGCGACACTTTGAGCTAGAAACGATGGAGGGAAACGACAGCGGCAGTATCTGCAAACACAATGAAGGGTGAGTAGAGGGCTTTTATATTCCTCGTGTTGCGTGCCGATTGGCTAGATCTAATTGTAATATGTGACGTAGCATTAAGTCTTCCTAGTAGAACTTGCTCTGACGCTTCCATTTCCACTGCTGTTACTGTACATCAACAGTAATTAGACGTGATAGTCTTATTACACTTTTTAAAATGTGTAAAAATTCAGCATCTGGACAACCTCCATCCCCAGCATCAGCAGCACCACCTCCATCCCCAGCATCAGCAGCACCACCTCCATCCCCAGCATCAGCAGCACCACCTCCATCCCCAGCATCAGCAGCACCACCTCCATCCCCAGCATCAGCAGCACCACCTCCATCCCCAGCATCAGCAGCACCACCTCCATCCCCAGCATCAGCAGCACCACCTCCATCCCCAGCATCATTGTCAACAAAAAGAGTACGTGTCCGGCAGCAAGTCAGGGTGACTTGCACACACTGTGGCATTAAAATAAATCAAAGGAACTTGCTGGTTCATATCAACCGAAGACACAGGCAAAGGGTAGCAGATATTACAGCAAAGCGGCATCTATCATGCCAATGCATTGATGCCAAAAATGGCATCTTTGCTCTTGATAAGTCATTCTTTAAGCCATGCTCTCCTATACATGTTCAAAAAACTGGTTTTATAATTGCTGTACAGCTGTGTCTGTGTGCTAAACACCGCATTTGTTAATATAGTTTTGGTTTTGTTTTTTAGTACGCACTCCATGTTACGCTCTCAAAGCCATTTGATTTTACTGCGGTGAGTTGGCATCAATTTATGGTTATTTGTAAAGCAAAAAGGACTGCGAGAACACTTTCAACAAAATAAAAAAAAAATGACTAAGATTTTCAATTGCTATCTTTTATCAGTCTGACATGCCTATAATCAGGAAGTGGTGGTGCTATCAGTTAATTCAGACATTTCCTCTGACAAGGTATGATATTGATAAGTATACTTTAGATTAAAACCTCCATACTGTGCATTTCCAGTATGCAGGCAATATATAAAAAATAAAGCAATGCATGTCTAAAACATTGTTATGTTTGTCACTTCCCACAGTCAAGTCCAACAACTAGTCACCCAGGAACAAGAACTACCAAATCCAGAAGACATGGAAGTCACTCCACCTGAGTCAGAAATCATGGAGATCACCCCAACACCAGGAATCTATGTATGTAGAGGGAATGTTTATGTATTGCTTGACTTGGTTATGTATTTAACTTTCCTGTTTCATAAAGGTGTTTATGAGCAGCACTTATTAATTACATTATTATTGGAATTCTTATATTGCACACAGGACTCAGCGGTGATGAAAAACATTCAGCTGGCCTGTAAGTGGGTGGAGGAGAACCAACACCACTTTGCTGGGAAGATTGAACTGCCAAAGATCTTAAGGATGAAGGAGGATGATGCCTTGTTGGCTATCGCAATGCGAGACTTGTTCATAAACACCATGTTTTATGAAGGTGAAAGGGATGAAGAACAAATTCGGGCTCCCTTCCTTTTCACTTTTCAGAGAGTAGAGGACATGGAATTATTCTTGCAGGAAATACGAGACAAAAGAGATATCCGTGTGTCTTGTTTACACAACCCTCATTTGTGAATCTACCAGTGGGTTACGGTTACTATAATGTAAATATTGATTTTTGTTTTGTAAAATTTCATTAATATTTTGTGTGAAAAGAAGTGTTGTGTTCTTGAAATATATTTATGATATTTATTATTTTATATCTTGCTATACCATTAAAATTTTGTGTGAAAGAAGTGTTGTGTTCTTGAAATATATTTATGATATTATTTTATGACTTCTTATTATGACATTTTATCTAGATTTAAGATTTATTTTATGTTTAGATGCACATTTTGCTAATTTGGGTTAATAGAAACAAATAAATCCAGTACATCATTTGTAGGACAGTGGAGTATGTGACTATTAAATTACATCTATCTTATCCCAAATGTTGGAGAGGATTCCTCACTAATCTCAGAGCATGAAGGTTGAGTCTGTCTAAAATTAGTCAATATTCCATTAAAATTTACAACATAATAAAAAAAATTACAACCAGCCTGTTGGAGTTCATGAGTCAATATTCCATTAAAATTTACAACATAATAAAAAAAATTACAACCAGCCCGTTGGAGTTCATGCATTCACATATACATACAAAAATGGGCAGATTACATAAATTAGTCTAACTTTATTATTTATTATTATTTATTACAATGAATCAGATGATTTAGTTTAGTTCATAAATAACCCACACGTTAATGCGGTGGCCAAAAATTAAAGAGGGGTGCACAGATAGTAAGCTTCCACATTGCCTGCTAAGTCTAGTCATTTACATAATCATATAGCATACGCTTTTATCCAAAGCAACTTTAAAAGTGAGGAAACTATTCTAATAAGGAGAAAATAATATGACAAGTTTACATAGATACAAAATTTAAAAAGGTGTTAGAAACACAGTGTGAGTAATGTTCTTATCAAGTATTTACGTAATACAGTGGGATATGGAATTGTACATGCTATTTGTTGACAATAAAGCATTATTTAAAAAAAGTATTTACGTAATGCCGTTTGTCACAGAAACGATACTGACCATGATGAAAAAATCAATCATAATCATGACAAATATTAGAGTAAAATAAGCCAATATTATCTACGCCAGCATCTTGCGCATCAAAAGCGTTTACTTCCATTACGGTTGAACTGGCAATAATATTAACAGACACATGGTGGCGCTTGATAGCGCTTCAAGCCCCGCCCACTAGATCCAGCGAGGGGGGGCCTAGCCCCTCCCATTTGGCTCTGCAGCGAGCACCACTTGCTTTTAGCAGGGTTGTGATAAAGAGTGGCATGGTCACCCTGAAATATGACTACCGCCCCCACTGGATCCCCCAACATTATTGGGCTAGAGTACTGTCAATCTGACAATGCCTGTATGCCACTAGATCAGAGTGCTGTCAATTGCTGCCTGATTGTTGCATGCAAAGTTTGCATTTGGAGCGCTCAACAACGCCATTAGATCAGTGGGCTCTGTCAGTGCTTTGGCAATTTTACTCAGAAATGCATCACATTACAGGAGTTGAATGTGTAATTTGTTGTTGTCTTCAATTATAAAACTGTTTAACTTGATGATACACCATAGCAACTAC